AAGTGTTGAGAAGGAGAGGTGGGGGAGGGGAGGATGGAGAAGGGAGGGGAGTAGAGGAGGTGGAAGGTTAGCCCTCCTCCCTTTATTTAAGGTTCTGACCAAGTGCTAATAAGGTTTGGTTTGCATAGGCTGTGCTTAGGGCTACGCCGCGAAAATTAAGCCATTCAAACTAATGACGGCTTTTATAGCTCCCGTAGAGTTTTACTAACATAGGGGCGTTTAATCATTTAATCAAGTGGGAAAGGGACTACTTAGTAAATAACTTTTTAAAATGCAAGATAAAATCTGTGTTGCCCCAGTTTTCAGTTTGATAAGCCCCTATTTTGATAATGTATCGCCCCTGTTGCGGTTGATCATGTTTTAATGGTTTATATTCACGACTTGGGTCTTAATTTATAATACGAGCATTCTTATGCGTTCATAAACAAGCTACCGAGCTACCCACCCCTCCCCTTCCAACACCACTTTCACTTTATTTAACACTCTTCCAAGACACTGTAAGCGTAAGTGTAAGGGTACCTGATTAACAATGGTACCCTTGAAACCTTAAAANACTGTAAGTGTAAGTGTAAGGGTACCGGCCCCAAATGCAAAGATGGTAAAACCTGATTAACAATGGTACCCTTGAAACCTTAAAAATATCAGTTTTTCAAATTCTAAACATAGATTATATAATTCATACTTGATCAGACAAATCTTTTAAGGATTCCATTGTGAATCGGGCATCGCCATCTTTGCATGGAGGGTCACTAGAAACTACGCTTACAGTCCCTTTAAAGAGAATACCATTTCTACTGAGTTAAACATTATAATACAGTGTTTCCCACAAAGTTTAATGACGACCTGAAAAGAATTAAAAAACAATTTGATGAATTCAGCCAATTTCGTCTTTTTATAGTAATTCAATGATTTTGAAATGAACAATAGGTTTATAGTTAGAAGGAACCAGGAATGTAAGAAGAAAAACTATGTCGTTTTTTTAAGTCTTATTATTTGTTGTCAACCCTGTATTTTAGTTTGAACCAGTTTAGTGATGACGACACGATCAACAATAATATTATTCAGAATAATTAGATTTGCTAAAACATGGCAGTATCCAAATATATACATTGTTTTCATTGCTAGAGATCCTTCACTTTCGATCCCGTTACTTCGAGTAAATTTAGGTTTTAGGTGTTTTAAATTTGGAGGGATTAAAAGATGAAGGCATAACGCTTTTTAACTTGTACGTGCGCGCGTATGCAATCTTTTGTGCATTTAATGTTGTTGTTAAAGGGAGTGTTCGCGAAAAATGAAAGGGGGTATAGCTTAATGCGATGAAAAAGCGCTTTTGATCGCTACCAATCTTACTTCTTTCTGTTGCGGTCTATAAGGTGAAAATTGTTAAAGACGTCTCATACCGAATAACCTAGCGCCCATACAAATTCAGAAAATTGGAACATACAACTTAGACCGTAAAAAATCCATTTAATTTCAAACAAATCATTCAGATAGTACAACCTATAGTCATCGATTATCTTTCGCCACATTTGTATATAGTTTATATTTTATAATATTTTATTTTTTTAGAAAACGTTTTAACTGATTTCGAAAAATGTGAGTGGTCCGCCAAACTGCTGGACGATTGGCGTGAAATTTTTTGTGGATACACATGGGTGGCCGGGGGGGGGTTTTAGGCTAAAAAATTGAAATTTTTGTTTTCAACATTTTTTTTAATGTCCACGGACAACGCCGGGTCCTTCGGCTATTATCTATAAAATAAAACAAGACAAGACATTCATATATTTGTTGCCTATAGCCGGCCAAACGGCTGGACCAAATGGGCTGAAATTTTTTGTGAACACTCATGGGTAGCCGGTGGGTGTCCTAGGCTAAAAAATTAGAAATTTTTTTCCCAAATTTTTTTTTCCACGGACAACGCCGGGCCCTTCAGCTAGTATTAAATATGTAATAATTTAGTAAAATCATAACTTTAGTCTAAAAGTCGTCTTATTATTCCACAACTTTATGGACACCACTGTAAGATAGAACATATATATTATCATTTACACAATTACACATTATTTACAATCTTTTAGCCAGTGGTAAAGGGATCGAAAGAGAAGCTGAAGAAAATTGCTTATTTCAGAAAACTATTCATATCTCGCAATTGCTTGGTTTGGTCGAGTTACGAGTGTGTTAGACCAAAGATAATTGGAAAATAGAAGATCATTTTCTCGTTTTAGCAGCACCTCACCTCACCACCGTTAAACACCCTCAGCTCCTACTAAATTTATGACGGCCATTCAACCACAGAGAAAACGGCTACGGCCGAAAACTGCAGGTTTTTCAAAAACAAACGAAAAATTAATTA